AATGTTATATTGTGAAATCACATAAGTATTGCGTTACACTAAGAGATGAATTTTGTTACGATAAATGCTAAATATCTTTGCAAGAATGTGTATTGTTATTTTTTAAGAAATGTTGATTTACATTACCCTATATGCATTTTGCTTTGCTAATGAATGAAATCCATTTATAAATTCAAATAATGATATTGTGAAAAATATCAAGAACTTAACGACTTATAAAAAAACTCTATCAATTTTTTTGCTATGAAAAAATCGAGTTGTTACATGTCAAGTTTGCTTTTGTTGGTGAGAGCCTCTGGTCACCTTCAAAAGGAAAGAGAAAGTTGTTCTTTTTAGATCCTCCAGTCCTCGTCTGCCATGATTAAATATATAACATTATTTGCTTGAAAACACATGAAGAATAATAGGGTAGATAGGTCAATACCTTGGGGTTTTTTTTCTTGGTTTAAACCTGTTTGTTTCTTAGCATGGTTATAGGTCTTATAGGTCTACTTATCTAAGATGTGTTTAATTCCTTACAAGTGCATATTTGTATCTTCATCCTTTATGCCTTTACAAGTTTAGCATGAAACTCTTGTATAAAATGAGAGGCATGGTTTCTGGTTACCTTTAATACCTTTTTCCTCTCAGCCTCACTATATGCATACTTCTATTATGATGAAAGAACAATGGCATGTGGTTAACATTTGCTTAATATGTAACCTAATTTTTTATGGTTACCTTAGGTAGTAGATTTTAAAGTCTTGTTTTTCTTTTTTATGGTACAAAATAAGTAATTATTAAGAAGATTGTTATTTTATTACAAAACCTTGAGATATACTTGCTTGTGTACTTGTGTTTGGAAGCTTATAAAGATCTACTTATGCCAAGGAAAATATCATGTGAAAATGTACAAGTGTAGTGCTTTTTCCTATGTGAGATACTAATATTTGAGTTCTTTGATATCATTGCCTACAATTGGCAGTAGATATTAGAATTTTTTTAATTTTTTTCCTTTTGTCTCCTTCATATCCTTTTCTCATATATAAGGATTTATGGAACAACATGCTTGAAGTTTATTTTTAACCTTGTATGTGAGTTTGTGTTCATTCCATAGTAATCTTACATATTGGAAATTAAGGTTTTCATGAGATTTCAATAAATAATTAACCTAGTTTGGTTTGCATTTTATGACCATCAAAATAAAAGATTTACCATCTTTAAAGTTTTGCATCATGGCCAAACCTCTCTTATATAAAAAAATAAAAAAATTACATTCTTACATCCTTTCAAAATTCATAAATGCCTCATTAATTAATAATATCATTTGAGCATTTTTACTTTAACTTTTGTAAAAGAAAATATGTTCATCACATCATATGTATTTTTAGGTTTTATGATTTATTTATAAAACTCATTAAGGTTTTGCTCAAATCAAAAGGCCTTCAAAAAGACAATATCTCAAAACCTTTCAAAAGAATTCTTTCTTTTTAAATAATAATAAAAATTATTATTCACTGATGATGTTTAAGATAAATAAACTCATTATGAGATATTAACATGTAGTAGCCTTCCCTTTTCGTTGGTTTTGAAATATGCCTCATTTTAAGTTTATTTAGTTTAATATTCTACAATGATATTTGAGTGTTAAATGAAAGTATTAATTTTATTTTGTCTAATATTTACCATAGAGTGTATCAAGGATGATATTGTTCTCTCTATACATAATATATCCTCTTATCAAAATATTAGGTGGTGACTCCAAACTTTTTTTAACCAAAACAGGACAAGAATTTCTTGTTCTTTCCACACCACACTAAGAACCTAATCTAGAAGAATGATCGTCGCGACGCCATACATGTGTAACACATGTTGTTAATCACAAGGTAAAATTAATGTTGATTGGTGGTTCACATAGAATATGTCAATCTTTGGCATGCACGGAGATATCATATATTTACATAATAGTACCTACTTGTTAAGTTGGATCTCTATATGTTTCTGTACATGAAAATAATAAGATGATTCCTTAAACCGTCATGGGAGTATATTACAAGATGTCCATGTGATACACTGCATTAGTCAACATGTAATCTAAATAATTATGAGCCTTAAGCACTAAGATATAATAAATTGGTATGCATGGATTAGTTTTTTTTTAACTTGTAATAAAAATCTTATTTATATCTTATATATAATGATATATTTTTTTGATATATACTAGGGAAATTTCTTAATACACGAGAGTTAGAGTGTTGGGATTGTAGTTTATGATGTTACTCACAATGTTATGCATGACAAATTCAATACTAGCTTCTCATCATGGCGTTCTTTATTTAATAAGGTTAAGGAGGCTCAATGTTTGGACAATGTAATAGAGGAGGATAGGGTTGTTATCATCCCCGTCGATGATATGCTCATAGTTTTAATGGTGTATGCTGATCAATGAACTAATATGTTAGATACAATTTCATTATGTAATTGAATTGAGATTGTATGTTGTAATAATTTTTTTTTTTGTTTTAGATTAAGTTTCTTTAATTGTAAAATTACTTGTTATACACGTATGTGAATTTTTTGAAATGGTTGATTAAACAACAACTTGTTGACTTCAAAATGTTCTTTTTTAGATTGTATTGTTTTGAAATTGTGTTTTATTTGACAAGGAGCTCAGAGGGATCAAAAAAATAAAGGTTTGCATTGTTAGAAGTCACATATATACTATATTTTTTATTGGTGGTTGTGCCTGTGTTACATGCACAACTAGTGAACATGCATACAACATATGCTTGTTTTAATAGGTTTTGTATATTACACATATGTGTATATTAGATTAAAAAATATGTTTTTAACTGTGCTAGTTTAGAAATTACTTAGTGACATGGATATGAAATCCAGCTTAGCTTGATGGGTTGATCTAAGTGACTTTAAGCCTTGATCGAGTTTCAAATAGGAAAAATCTAGGCTTGCAATTGACCTGTTTAATCTTAGGTGACATATTTGAGTCAACTCCAAACCCAGGTAACTCGACATATCATAGGTGAAATCTAATTTTTTAATATTTTTTAATAAAAAATAAAATTATTTTTTGAATAATTGGCTTCATATATTTTTTTATAGTTTCCAACAAATCAAATGTTTCAATTTTTTTCATGTGAGACGATTATATATAATCTACATCCATGTGAAATATTTCCTAATTTTTTCATGTGAGATATTAAAATGTTAAATTTTTATAGATGAATCTCGATTGACACATATAATGTGACTCAAGCCTCAAACTATTGGCTAGGTCAATCCTTCAATCAAGTTTAATAACTATATTTTATGATCATATGATAATATAAAAAAAGAAAAACTTATTATTTAGTTTTTACGAGGATTGAGTTTGACATATGGTAAAACCATCATTCACTTAAAATTTAAAAAAATTATTAAAAATTAATTTTTATAATATTTTTAAATTATTTTAATGTATTAATATAAAAAATTAAAAAAATTATTCTACTGTGTTTTTAAATAAAAATAATTTAGAATATAATTTTCACACCAATTAAGAAAAAAAAGAAAGCCGTCAGTAAACGATGGAAAGGCTGCATCAGAATGATTAGATATCTTGTCTTATTATCAAAACAAAGAAAAACAGGAGATTTGCTATCTACTATCTTTATAATTTATTTTAAAAATCGAAATGACAGCTAAAGCCTAAAAAGAATTTTTTTTTTTACTTTTTTTTAAAGTTGATGTCGGCCTTTAGCTTGACATGACTGCTCTAATTAAATATTAACGAATTGACGACATTATTCAAATTCCAATTTCAGAATCTTTTCCATAACATTTGCTCTATGCAATAATTGCCTCGTCCTCGTGTGTTACACAAGGATTTTCAGTACTGAAAAGGACACACCCTGGATAATATCATATATCAGATAAAACGTGAATTTATTTAACAAATATTCTTTAATTAATTGGTATTATCAATTAAATAATTATATCCTCAAGAAACAAGGCCATACCATAAGACAGCAAAGGGAAATTACGCGAGAAATTGGACACAATCTTGCCTCCAAGGGCAACTCAAGCCAAATGTACTAATAGCTCATTGCATAACAATGATGCTCTTGGCAAAGGTGCTTCTTATTCTCCTCTATCCTATCTAAAAGGTCAGTTTATTTTTTTATTTAAAATTAATTAATTTATTTATGTTTCAAAAGTACTTTTTTAAAAAATTAAAAAATTTTAATTTTAATTTTTTATATTTTCAAATTGTTTTTTATGTGATAAATTTAAAAATAAAAAATATTATTATTTTTATATATTTTTAAATGAAAAATATTTTAAAAATAAAACAATATCACATTCTCTAACCCTCTCTCTAATAGTGGTGATAGAATAATAAAAACATAATTTAATGGATGTATAGTTAAGATGGATATAAATTAATTTTTTTGCAATCCGATATTAGAAATGGCCGACAAACTCAAGCTCAAAACCTCCCGCGATGACAATGATAATCTAACATCAATCACCTTTAAACAAGAGTGATTAAATTATAACAACTCATCTTTAATATTCTTCTTTTCTTAATGGTCATCTTAACTATAACCAGTGAAATCAATGGATCACCATTACAAGCATCTTTTTTACTCTAAAGTGGCGTACTATATCCGAAAAAGTGAAAGTTGGTGGAGATCGGAGACAAAAGGTTTTTGAGGTTGATTTTTAGGTTGCGTGCAATTAACATTTCATGATTTTTTTAAAAAATTAAATTTTTATGTTATTATATTATTTTAATGTATAAATATTATAATATTTTTTAAAAAATAAATATGATTTATACGTTTCTAAGAATAAACACTTTAAAAAATAATGTTTGCAGCAGTTACAGTAACCTCTAAAATCGCTGTAGCTAGGGATGACTTCTGCGCAGAGTTATTGACATTTCTTCCTACCCGAGTCAATAAGGTTGTTGATACCTCAATACTGGCAAGGCAGCGGCTATTTAAACAGTAAAAACCTTCCCCCCTTTTTTTTTCCTGACACTAAGCTTCTCCATCTCAATTGAAGAGTAATGGACATGGCTGCAGCGAGCCGAAAACCCCACTTGAAATGGTGATCGATCACAATGACTACGAAGATGGAGAGCCACCGAAAGTGACAAGTTTGAAGCGCAAATACCCTCGAAATGAGTTCCTGGACCCCGGAGAGGACCCCTAGTTAATTTGTAGCAGATCCCAGGGGCTTTGAGATTGTAGTTCAATATCCTGCTAAGCAGTCATCGTCCTCATTGAAAAGCTAGCGACCCCAGACTTGAGCTAAATAATGTAACCTTTTAAGCACATTTTGCTGGGATCTTGAATTAATGCACTCAGCCATAGGTAGTTTGAGCTACATCATACACGCAAGTAATAATGCTGAGGTGCATTTGTGTTTTGAACTCTAATTCAGGTAGTTTGAGAGATAATATACACGAAGGATGGAGTTGCAGCCAAAGCTGAAGATGGTTCCAATATTTACATGGCCAGGTAAGCTATTGTCTCTGTAAGCGTTGGAGTCCTCCAAACTGACCTGATTGATTTCAGGCCTAAGTTACGTGTGAGTATGCTTCTTGAATTTTATTTTATTTTTCCTTTTCTAATTGTGAGATTTTCTGTTTTCAGCTCAACAGGTTATTCAAATCAATTCTCATTGCTCACTTTTCTGGGTCTTTATGTATGTATGTGTGTATGTACACACACTGGCGATTACTGAATCGTAATTTGAATACGAATCAGCTATGGAAAAGACTTGCAATATCCGATTTTAGCATGACCATATATACCAAGAAATTCCTAAGATTTCCTTAATAGTTCTGGCCACCTGAACCTGGAACCGAGTTCTTCACTCCTGTTTGGTATTGCATTCCAGGTAATTTTTAAACTTTTTTATTTAAAATTAATTTTTTATTTTTAGTTTATTTTGAAGTGCTATATAAAAATAGATTTTTTATTAAACAATATTATTTAATATATTTCCGAACAAAAATAATATTAAAAAATAATTATTATTACACCTTCAAACACATCCATGTAAGGCACACTCTGGCATGTACTAACATGTACATCTAAATCAGTAGCTAGTTTGCTGTAAATTCTTCCTACCTCCACGTTTATGATATCTTGATGCCTGATTTTGCATGCAGCATCTAGAGAATTAATGAATATCCAGGATCTGTCACTGGTGCTTATTCTACAGGTTTGACCTCCCGAAACACCCATATGTGCATTCTTACGAGTGACCCTTACCAATCTTGATTTGTATTCTTGGATGGTTTTGATACTGCGAACTTGGAGGGGCTACAGCAGCCAAACATTTGTAGAAGAGAAGGTGCCCTAACCGCTCCTAAGTCCTGAAGGTACACATATCTATGCACTTTCTGTTTAATTATTAAGAAAATATGTGCAAGGTGCAAAGAGTCTCACAATATGTACATCCTTCATTTAGGTGGAGATGGAGGAGGATCAGTAGCAGCAATAAACTCTTCGAGGGATGGACTACAACTACAACATATTCAAACTGTTTTTGAAGTTTTGCAAGATTTCCCATCAATGTTCTGTTAGGATTTTTGTGTTGGGAATGTAGAATTTGATTTTGTGATCTTATTTGGTTTTTTTTTTTGTATCTACCTTTGTTTCAAAGGGTGTTTGGTATGGAAAAAAAATATTAAATTGATGTTCCTTAATATTTTTTCATGTGTTAATATTAAAAATAAAAAAAAATTCCATGTGTTAATATTAAAAATAAAAAAAAATCTAAAAATAAATTATTTCATGAAAATAAAGAAAAACTTTTAAAAAATATTATTTACTATTAAACCACAATCGTACTTAAAACAAGTGTGCCCCTAGCAACTTCTAATTAAAGATGGGAATGCAAGTGTGGTTAAACTACGTTTCTAAATTATTATTTTTCTTCAAATTAAATTAAAAGAGAAAAGGATGGCTGGGACACCAAAGGAAAAAGGTAAAAATAGTGTTCAAATCCTCCATAGTCTAATCAAATACTTTGGGGGCCGGACATGTAGCGTGCGCTTAAATTAAAGTTTTATCATTGCAAAGTGGATCACATTCATATCTTACAAGATCCGAGCAATTCGACCGAGTCCCACACAACCCATCTTTATTTATTTTATTATATAGTATGGAAAAGATAGCATATGATGGGGATGCCGTGCACGTCGACCTCAAAGACAAGAGAAAAGTACACAACAAGTGTTAAAGCATTTTTTTTTTTTTTGGTAAGTTAAGTGTTAAAGCATATTCACTACTCTCATTAGCCATACAATTCAGAGTTTAAAACATCTTAATGACACCATCGATATTGGAAAAAAGAGTTGACTTTTTGTATGGATACTGGACAACTTAGAGTATCCAATTATGATAATAAAAGGAGTACATATTTCAATAATGTGAGGAAAAATAATAACAAACAAACAAAAAATACGATGCAATCCAAAAAAATGATGCAATCCACAAATCAAGTCTTTAAGTTTTGTGTCTGGTTAGTGTATGATAACATAAGTGACAAATACAAGAAACATATATAAAAAAAAAAAAGTTTTAAGTTAAAGGGATAAAAATGATATTAAGGTAATATATTTTTAAAATAACTTTGAAATAAAATTATATCATTTTAAAACATGAGTAAGTGTGAAATTTATTCATTTTATCTCCATTATCTTCTCTTCTCTTTTTTTTTCCTCAATATAGTAACCAAATTTTATAAATATAACTTTAATGAAGTTTCCAAGATTATTAGCTTTCATATATTTTTTGAGTTTCAATATATTCTTCTTCTTACTAAAAGATTTTTATTTTCAATAATAAACCATTTTTTTCAATTCTTTATTTTTAAAAAAATATTTTTAATAAATTAAATATATATATATATATAAACACAACCTAATTTTTTCGGATTTTATCTCATAAACTTGGATTGCACACTAATATTCAAAGTGAAATTCAAAGTTGAAGAACTACAATTACAACCATGATAACAATGGTCACATTTCATCAAATGATAGGTATCCAATTTTAAATAGCCATATCTATAAATGGTAATGTTTTAGGTTCAAAGCATAATCAATTAAATTCATATTCATGTTAAATCTATTAATGAGTTCACAAAAACAAATCATATTCAAAACACTTTTGTAATCATAAATATATTTTCATAAAACACTTAATATTATTTATAAATCATTTATCATGCATGATGCATCTAATTTATTAAACAATAAATATTTTAATAAGAAAAACTCATTTAGTACATAAATAAATATATTTTTAACTCAAACTAACTAACCAAAGAGATGAACAATTACTTAACTAATAATATGTAAATCCAAAATTAGCCTTAAAGACAACCAAGCACTCCTAACATCCTAACAATAACAATCACCATAAATTATTTGTTCACTATTATCTAATGCAATACATGAGCTTGTTTTTAATTTTTTATTTAATCAAAACTTAAATATATCATTAGTGCTTAAATGACTCTAAAATTTCCTTCAAAAATCACCCAACACCAAATCCCACAATATTACTTATAAAATATATATTTTTAATTATTAAATGTAAAAATATTTATGTAAAACATTTCGCAATTATGGTATAAGAATAATAATATTACGAGAAAAGGCTAAGGAACATCTTTATTTCAAGTAAAATACTATTCTAAGCATAATTAAAGTGGAGGACAACTATTTTATAAAAAATTATTTATCTAGTAAATAAATTAATTTCATATAGTAATCAAGTTTTTTTATGAAATACCTTTCATGTATTCAAATTCTACATATAAATCAATTAATTTTTGTATATTGAGATATTTCAAACCAAACTATAAAAGTTGTTCACTATTATAAGGCCCAGCCCACACCTCTTTGCATAATATTATCTTCTATGGCTCAGCCTAACCCAACTTCCAGGCCTTACGGTTTTGTTTCTAGCAGCTTATAGGTTCTAAAACACGTCTTACAAGATTAGGTACCAACTGTCTTAATATACCCTGGCTCTAGACACTTTTCTTTTTAATGTGGGATGTTACAATCCCCTCATCTTAAGAACAACTCGTTCTCGGCTCTGATACCAACTGTAACAGACCCGATTGTATGACTTGATCAACGTTAAAAGATCCTAACATATGTTCTTAATTTGAGGGTAATTTTTTTACAAAAAATCTACCAAAAATTCAATAGAATTTTGTTTGTATTTAGGACATCCCAAGCTATCTACTACTATCAATTTATTCAATCAACCCATTATCACAAAGTCCTATAATTTCGAATCTTATTTCAATCATCAATATTCAACATCTCATGCAATCCACACAATATATATATGAGTAAGTTCAATATGAATATATCCCACATATCATGTCATAAAATTTAAAAGAAAAAAGATTACGAACATGCAAAGAGAGCATTTACAATAAAATAAGTTTTTTTAAATATTTCAAATGGGTTAATTATAAGATAACTAATGTACTACATGCTAAACTAGACTTTTATAAATACATTAAGGTTTATACAAAAGTATACTGCATAAACACGTTAATTCCATTATACTTAAGTTAAATATTTACATAAGTTTGACAAAATGGAGTCCTAAACTAATGATCTCTCTAGATATTTGATTGTCTTGTTACATAAATAAACATACCATTATGTTGATAAAAGAAATAAACACACACACACACGAATGAAGTATAAATTTTTTGTCGGATTCATAACAATTCTAACAGTCAACTTATATTTTGCTTGTAAATTATTTAAAACCAATTAACACTTATTTTTATATCTTTAATTTGAATACTCTTATTTACTTGCATGCACCGAGTGACTTTGCAAAGTCCAATCTAGATATTTTTAGGCCATTATATTTATCAATTTTATAGGTAATTCAAACACTGAAACCCTTTATAAATCGAGTCTTATCAATCGTTCTCGGGTATCCCAACGCGGACATCATTAGCCCAAGCTACTCTTGTAATTCATTTCCTAGCATCATTTGTCGGCATTCCTATCACGAATGCCATTAGTCGTAGCTAATCTTGTAAATACACTAGACTTTATTTGCATTGAACATGATATTTATTGATAATGCCGTTAAACATGATATTTATTTGCATTGAACATGATATTTATTGTAATTGCATTCACCAGAAGAACTTTAAATTGCATAAGTGCAAAATAAGAGGGAAAATCACACAATCACACACCTGCTCTACCTGTCTCATGACCTCCCCTAATAAAAGATCCAATCATGGTCGCTCCTTCTAAATCACAAGGAAGTTTTTGTTATGATTCCTTCAAGCCTATTATTATAGTGAATCCATATTCATTCATTACACATATATTACTTTTTATACATGTTTATTTTCTCATAATAACATACACATATATATCATGTATATTTTAAGAGTTAGTGTCTCAACGTGCAAGTGTTCGCATGACTTAGATCTTTTATATTCTTACATATAGTATTCACGTAAAAGTCTAACTGTTATTGTCTAACTTTGAACTGTTACTGTCTAAATATTGAATTGTTTTTATCCAACTTGTTAATTGGAATTGTCTAGAATCCTCGGCCTCTTATAGTAACTTTTGTTTAAAAATTATGTTGTCAGGCACATACATGCATCGCCCCAACATCATTATCCCATCATCTCTCATTCAAAAATGAATTTCACCCCTATATTCTAGTTTGATTCTTACTTTTGACACTTCATCATCAAGCTATTGTACCTTTAATATTTAATCTCGATATCCTGACTTCACCTTTAGTTGAGACATTAAGGATCCTTCCAGACTCATATTTAATATTTCCCCCAAGCACTTTAGCTCAATCAT